CTTAGAGGACGATTGATATGTTTTAGCACTTTTAGGATTATTGTGATTAAGAGGAAACCACTCTGAATGATAGGGAAAAGGGTGTAAAAATGCAGAGCCCACAGCTGGTAAGCAGCATGTGTTTGCTATGAGGGGAGGTCATGACTAGTTGCTCCTGCTGGTTGTAGTGTTGATTGGCAGATAAGAAAACTTGATATTATGAAGCCCGGGATTTCCTTAAAAGAATGTGGCTTTGGAGGGCCAGCAAAACAGATTTATCAGAATATAATATAAATACATTTAGAACTGTCTTGCAGTTAAAATTCTAGCTGCATGGTGTTTAAAATGAAGCAAGGCAATAATAATAAATAATAATAATAATAATAATAATAATAAATAATAATAATAATAATAATAATAATAATAATAATAATAATAATGCATTCTAATTATAATTTCCCCATCCTTTAGGCAAGTATGGTCTTTATAGAGAGCAAAGTTTTTAAGGCAGTGTACAGTTGGGAGGGAATTTAGATACGTTGAAATTAAATTTTCTGCAATTGTAAAACTGTTAAGCATCTGGCAGGGCAGAAATACTTTTGTCTATCTGCTTATTGGAAGAGAGAAGCCTTCGAAAGCTGCTCCTCCCCACCCCCACATGAAACACCTGCCTCCAAAAGCACGAGAGCGTTTTGTGCGTCTGCCTGCACTCCCTAGCCTTCTTTCTTTCCCTCATTTGGAACCGAAGCTCATTTAGCTGACTGCTTTTTAATTTTTATTTTTATAAAAAAAAACAACACAAAAAACACACACGCACCATTTGAATCCTTGCAAATGTGCATTTAAATGGTTGAATCTCTAGCTCCCTTCTTCTTATTCTTCCCCCCCTTTTCCCCCCTTTTTAAAGTGGGGCTGTGCCTCTTTCAAAATTTGAGTTTAGCATACCACACAGGAAAGAACACAAGCTTGCCAAGTCCTGCTGAGCGTTTTTTCAAGCCTGTGAAAAGAATGAATTATTCAGCAGTAAGCATGCTTACAGCTGGCCATTTGGGAGCTTTGATGTGCGAATCAGGCGGTTGCATGAATGCCCTTATTGTCATGTTATGTGTACACAGTGTGTGAATTATTGAAAATAGTGAGGCCTGAGCCTCATCTGGTAGAGATTACAGTGCAGGCATGCTGGGTGAAGGTCTGTAATTGAAAATCCCCAGATGCTGTTTATTTGGCCTATGTCACATGACCTTCTGCAGTAAGCTTGTCTGAACAAAACGCTGCCTGCATAGGAAAGCGTTGCCCAATCTCCCACCCCACCCCTTTCCTGTAAGCCTTCTCAAAACTGACTAAGAGGAACACTCTAAACACTCACTATGGGGATGACTTAACACCTGCCTATAATATTTTTTAAAGGCTTAAGAAAGATTTTGCTCATGGCTTTAAAATAGCGGGTGTCTTAAAATCTGTTTAATCAGTTGTTGACTTTTATCTACAAGAGAGGTTTCTTGTTAACTAATTTGGATTTAAAATTTCATGGGTAGGCACGCAGAATTTTATTGTGGTGTAAGATGCTAAAATCCTGGAAGGCCTGAGAGCATTCAGACATTCCTAATGCTGGCTTAAAGTTTCTTTAGGAATGCTGCTAATGAAGAATAATTCTCAGATGTCACCGATCCAAATGGCACAAAAATCTCTATTAAAAGTTAGTGAGACAAAAATTGGTTGGATCTAGGATTTCAAACAAAAACTTGCATGTTCTACTCACCTGAGTAAATTTGGTGTTAGAATTTGTGCCTAGTACCTTAAGGTTACCATATTTTTTTTCAATGGACCCGGGGACCTTTTCAGCTTCAATGGATTTTGTATGGGGACTGATTTGTAAATCCAGGGACTGTCCCTGGGAAATGGGGATGTCTGGTAACCTTAGAGTACCTTCCATAGGAAATCTAAGTCTTCCCTCTCTGCTCAAGCATCTATGAACAGAGATAAGGATGTATTTTATTTGAATTTTTTTAATCAGGTCTGTACTTGGGAGGGGAGGAAGAGTGCCTAAGACTGCAATCCAATACCCCTTTACCAGGGAATAAGAACCATGGAATTTAATAGGAGCTATTTCTGTATAGGATTGTTCTGCTTAACGTCTTATGAATTTTCCCATTTTCCCAGCAAGGGCTTGTCATTATTTTTCCAACCCTGATTTAAATAATGTGGGGGTTAGAAAAAAAGTTTTGTTTTTTAACAAATATATTTTTGACAGGATTGTATATTATTCACCAAGCAAAGTAAGGTTTTGGTTTAACTGCCCCATTTGGCCTTCTGTTTTTGTGTCTGTTTCTTTGCAATGTGATAATGCAGTTGGAGATTAAGATAGAAGAATGAAAATTTTTACACATTCAACATTTCTGATTTTCAAAGTTCACACCTGAGTTTGATTCCCTCATGTGCCTTGAAGAATTCCTGGAGGCTTCTCCAAACACTGTATTTCACAACTATTTTTATATTGTAATATCCCTTTGGCTTTGCTTACTTTTCTTATTATATTACTTTTCATTTTTATTATTTGTATCTTCCCTCTTAGAAAGAGTTATCAAAATTTCCATTGACAACCCTAATTCTTTTAAAAAATAAAACTATGGAAGGAATGGATCCATGAGGAGATGTATTGGTGAGGTAGGGGGAGAGAAAGATGAGAACAGATTGAAGAACAGATTTTCAAAACACCGAAATTAGATAAATAGGCGAAAACAAACAAAAACAAAAGCACAACCTCTTACACCAAGAGAATATTTTGTTCCTCTGGATGTGAAGCAGAGGAGCAGCAGAAGGATCTCATCAAGACTCAGGTGTGTGGTACAGTGGTACCTCCGGTTACGAATGGGATCTGTTCCGGAAGCCCGGACGCATCCTGAAAACATCATAACTGGAGGTGCCCTTCTGCGCACGCATGCGGGGCGAAACCCGGAAGTATACACTTCTGGGTTTTCCGCGTTCGCAACCCAAAGTTTATGTATCCAGAGGGATACGTAAGCAGAGGTACGACTGTAGTGATTTTTTAGTTTCTCTCATACCAACCAGTTGGTCTTACTTGAGGGATGGGCAGAAGGTATATAAGGATCTAGTTCAGGCATGGCCAAACTTGGCCCTCCAGCTGTCTTGGGACTACACTTCCCATCATCCCTGACCACTGGTCCTGTTAGCTAGGGATGATGGGAGTTGTAGTCCCAAAACAGCTGGAGGGCCAAGTTTGGCCATGCCTGATCTAGTTATAGGCTTCTAGATAGAATCATAGAATTGGAAGGGACCACAAGGTTTTGAAGCGGATCAGCAAGGTTCTCTGACTCCCAGCAACAAAAAGACTACCCAACCCGCCAAAGAAGTTACTGTTGAAATCAAGATGGGGAGGGTAACCTAAAGTGGACTTTATGTGGAAAGACTTCAGTTTAACTCTGGGACTCTAATCAAACCCCCAAGTGGTTTTTTTAAAAACATTCTGCATACACATCTTTTGCACTTGGCTCCAGTTGCTATATCTTCAGGTTCTCGGGGATCCTGAAAACCAGATGTCTGCTGCCGTTTCATAACATGACCACTGTGCTGAGAGAGAAGGGGATAGTCCTGCTTACCCAAGAACAGGCATGTGATGGTGATAAAGAATGTGGAACATATAATGAACTTTACTCAGCTGAGCATTTAAATAAAACTAGCATATAGTCTGATGATCTGCAGCACCTGACACAACTAGGTCTGTTGAGTTTTTAAAGAAAATGTCTTGAAATCAAGAGGCTGAAATAATAACGGGATATGCTCTAGGAGTCTTGGACAGGATGGATTTCTGTAACAGAATAGTCACAAACAAGCATACCTTCATAATCTCCGGCTGTACCACAGAGCTAGATCATATTGAGGATCCAAACTGATTGAAGGTGGTACTGGAAAGCTGGGGTTGTTTAAATCTTAAATCACCTCTACGGACTAATAATATCACCCTGTTAGGAAGGAGAAAATGGAGAGGTGGAGCCAAAAGCACACAGAAACATATGGTGTTATATTTTGAAACAGCACAGTTGTCACCAGTGTTGCCAACAAGTTCACACAAGTTATTTGCTCAGCCACTAGCCTGTCCGCCCACACAAAGTCATTTGAAGCCTACTGATGGACTAAGAGACTCTCTTCCAGTTCACAAAAGATTTCTTGTTTGCTGTGGACGATCCAGCGAGCAGTTTATAAGTCCTCTAGTCACTCTTCCAACACTTGATTACAAGAATTCTGACTCTGGTATTTTGCAAAGATCCAAACACAGAAGACATTGGTGGTTTTCAAATAGAAACATTTTGGGCAAACAGTAGCCAGGCCTTTGCTACTGGAAAACGTAGCGATATTTCACATCATGCCATAAATTTGCCAAGGAGAAAAGTAAATTGATCAAATGAACTGGGGAGATTCTATATTATTTGAATGTCTTCATGTCATTTAACTCTTCTGTTGTGGAGAGGAGGGACTTGAGATGACCTCTGTGGTCCTCTGCCAGTCTCGTGGGTACAACCCCACACAAGTGTGATGCTTGCTTTACTTTTCTCAAGACATATCTAGTATTATATGATGTTTTTGACTTGAGGGAGGGATGGAAGAAGAAAGCACAGGTTGTTTCCTCCTACTTATTTTGACTTAGCTCAAAAGAATTGTAGTTTAAATTTCTAAAAGTATTGCAGTTTTTATAATCATATTGTCATGGCCTCCCAGAATGTTGCCGAATTTTGCAACTGCTTTTGCAGGAGAATTCTCTTGTGGCTCAGTCGCTAAGCTACTGTTTAAAATATATTTTTCTCAGTCTCTTCATTCCACATGCCGGCTTGCTTCTGCTATTTCATTTGAAAATACAATTTTTGGGCACAGGACCTGATCCATTTGTAAAATGCACATAATACTTGTTGCTGATCTGTATTTTTAAATTGTGCAGCTCTTCGCATTTATACCTTCATGCTGAATTTCTGTTTTTGTTCTTCATTGTAAATCTGTATTTGTTTCAGGTAGGAATGAACTGATAGCCAGATACATCAAACTTAGAACGGGAAAGACACGGACCAGGAAACAGGTAAGGAAATCCTGCAGGATAAAAACTGTGCATGTCAATGAATGACAGAACGTAGTGGTCTTGGCTGCAGTGGCTGGCTTTGCTTCAGCTCTGGTTAGTTCCTGCCTTGCTTTTTCAGTGTATTGAGTTTGTGTTCAGAAATAAAGTACTTCTATTTGTGCCATTCATCACTTCAGTGACAACTTCCTTAAGCACACCGTATGCTTGCAGTCATAAGCACCTATCTTGATAAAAAACCTATTGGATGCATTAATCAATTAATTTCAGAATTACTGAGTTGCTATGATGGGACATAGTTGTGTTTTCTTAAGCTGCTCCTGTCCTCCCAGCCCATTCATTTGGCTTGCAAAGGGCAAGAACCTTCTCTGGACTGCCAAAATCAAATCCTTCCTTTTGACGCAAACACGTTATTAAATTGCTCTTATGAGAAGACTCCTAATAATATTTGGGGAGCAAAAGTGGTAACAGGGATCTTGTGGTGACTTTGGGAGGCAATGGCATTATTATCTTTATTTTTATTTATGTTCTTTATTAAATCTGTATACTGCCCTTCACCCATAGCTCTCCGGGCGGTGCACAACATAAAAATCCAATATAAAAAGACGTCGTTTTAAAGTCAACCAAATATATTTAAGGAAATCCTTTAGTAAAAGGAACTGAATGCTTTATAGCAAAGAGCAGAGAAAAGGTAGCAAATTGCATGTTTTCTTAGGTAAAGTCATCCACACAGTTTGTAGGCCACGCAAGATCCAAACTTAAGACGGTTCCCCAAAGTCCTTTGTTCAAGCCATTTCAAACAGGGACAGCCTCATGTTGTCTCAGGACAAAGGAGCAAGAAAAAGCAGGAAGTTTACACCATGATTAGCAAGTTACAACTGGAATTTCACCAGACAAAGAAGAATGTCCCCAGAACCTGCTAAGAGACGCTTAATTGTATCTCATGTGTCTCTTCCTTGGTATTGAAAGTGTATCCAAGCAGGATTGGCAGAAAGGGTGTTTTTTTTTTTAAACCAATGGGACAGAGAATTGAAAACTAGCTAATAATGAAAGAATAGGCAAATAGAGGTTTTAGATTTCTTGGAAGATCTAGAGGAGGATATGTCCTTCTGTCAACATGACAGAGAATCCACATCTGTCTATTTGCATGAGATGAGATTTGGGATTCTTTTTATTTATTTTATTTTTTTAAGCTGATCTACCTCCTTCAGCTACTTGCATTGCTGCGCGAGCCATTCAAGCCTGTTGAATTATTAGAGTTATAGCTGCTCTCTCACATTTTTATGACACAGGAAAGTAACACAAAGTACATTTATGTGCTGAGGTGACAAAGCATGGTGTGCATTACAACTTCCGAGAGAGACGCAGAAACTATGAAGGGTTGTCTGTGCTTCACCCGGAGCTAGTAACTTTGTATTCCCTTGTAATATTTTTCATCAGAGATTATGGAACATTCTTCATTTACATATGTAAATCAGCATATGCTACTATGCATGTCCTTTGTGAGTTTTGCATCTATTTCATTTTCAAGTAGGGATCATCCTAGCCTTTTGATGTTTATTATCTCACTTAGCCTTGTTTTTATCATAACCCCACCTGCAAGATTTCCTGAAACATTCTTTAAAATAAAAACATGGGGTTTGTAAAAGGATTTTGATCACCGAAGACACACAGACATTTCAAGCCTATTTGTGCAACTATGATTAGTTGACCCACTTTTTAAAATAGGAAATTTAATATTTTGCACTTATGGTTCCTGCAATTTGGAGCTGTTGAAAATTTCCTGTGCTCAGAATAATAATAATAATAATAAAGTTGGTACCTCTTAAGAAGAGGGCTGTGCAAATGTGTTCCCAGAGGTCATTTATTTGGACATTAGTAAGGTTGCTACCTAGGTCAGATATATCAGATTTTGGCGCTGCAGGATATACATTCTTGTTGGGACTGGTTGGTACAGGAATGTAGGCAAGAGATTTTGGTAGATTACTTCTCTGCAATGACTCTAATACAAATGAATACACACAAGGTCCTCTTCCAGGGGTTGCTATGTGATTCTGCTGATCCAGGTCAGGGCCAGAGTTATGGGCGGTGGAGAAAACATTTCCAGACCAGACAAGCCTTTTTGAAGGCTCTAAGCCAGTGTTTCTCAATCTTGCGTCCCCAGCTGTTGACCATTGGTCCTGCTAACTAGGGTTGATGGGAGTTGTAGTCCAACAAGAGTTGGGGACCCAAGTTTGAGAAACACTGCTTTAAGCCTTCCTTCCTAAGTCAATGGAGGCCTCTGGTTCTAGGAGCTGGGTGGTGCATTTTCTCATGAACCCAGTGATTCTCCAAAACAATGAGGTAGTAGAGTTTTGATTCTTGCCTTGCTGCATTGCACACCTTCTGCCCTGGAATTCAGGGAGTGTAATTTCATCCCAGGATTGACCTAGGATGTTCACAGCAGGTGCCAGGCCATCTCCTCCTCTCCGTATCAGAGGACTATTGACCTTGTGAAGAGAGGCCTATCTATCTAAAAAGAATCACAAACTTTTATGGAGGCCCAGAATGAGTTATGCAACCCCTTACCTGTTCGTATAGCTAGAAAAGTGCCAAGTCCCTGCATTTTCATTTAGAAAACACATTTAAGTCAAATTGGTGTGCTACAGAACTGAGCCAGATTCCATGGACTCTTCCAGTTTCCAGTTTACAGGAATACACATTCTCTCTCTCTCTCTCTCTCTCTCTCTCTCTCTCTCTCACACACACACACACACACAGGATTTTCTCAGCTGATTTTGTCAGGTGCCACACATTCCTCCCATTCATTCTGTGTGTTAGCCCCTCAAACTGAATTCAGCAGGAAAGCCTACTTGTGTGGAAATTCCACAAGTGAACATTAAAGGGCTCCTGAAGTTTTAAAAGTAAAAATATATCAATAAATAATCCAATAATACAGATTGTCTATAAAGGGTAAGAATTGTGTCCCGGGACTAGATTGTGCTGTGACTGTGGGTCTGCCTGATGCAAACCTACAGCTATGAAATTACTCTGTATAATTACACTGGTAATACAAAATATCCCTCTAATGAATAGATGTGGGATATAATAACTTCCATTAGTATCTTTTATGTGTGATTCTGAGGAAGTATTTATAAAGGTAGTGACTTTCATGTCATTCTAGCCAATTATCTGACTGCCTTTTGGGTGAAGGTTCTGAAAGTTTCTTTTGGTGATAGACAGTTTGTCCCCTGGGAAGATGTTTTATAGGAGCATTGAGGTGGGGAGAGGGGCAATCATTAGATTTTTAATGTTTCTTAGTTTCATTGCATTTGGAACCGTGTGATACTTAATTGCTGAAGTGGATTAAGGATTCTTCTATCTACATAGAATATTCTGTTATGGAGATTGCCAGAGAGCTGTGTGGATATTGCTATTCCTGCTGATTTGATTTTTTTAAAAAAGTGATATATGCATTTGTGATTGATAAAATTCTCTGCATTATGGACGCTCATGATTAACAGAGAAACTGATGGCTATTGAAACAGTTTATTAAACTTGTTATGTCAAGAGGAAGGATTTGTGATTGGACTTCACCGGTAAACACTGTGTGGATTTCTTATGCTGCTGGTCAATTGTAATTTTCATCATACAGGACACAATACAGAAGTTTAATGCTTCCTGCACATTTTTGTTACACCAGTCTTTTCTATCCTCAGTATAATGATAAAGCTGTCTTACAGATGTGTAGCACATAGTACCATTAGTGTGTAGGACATGGAGCGAGGAAGCCAGAGTTCAATCTGCACTCAACAACGAAGAACACAGGATGATCTTAACTTTTTGGTTCATTGCCTCAAAAGGTTGTTGTAGTGATATTGAGATAGTACCTATGCTAACTTGAGCACCTTTGAAAGGGGATAGGATATGGATGTGATACACACAGTAGTTGGCAACATGATGGTTATACAGGGTGAGTCTTTTAAAAGAGGCCCCATGGAACATGTGTACTCTGTACATCCTATATTTGGTTCATTCATTTAGTTTAAAGCGTTGTAAATTTAAACAGGGAAAACAGGTAGAGAAAAACGGGACTCCACCTCACCATCTGGTGGTGCAATGTTATATTGCACATACAGCTCATATAAATTGCTTTTCCTTTACCAGTCTAGCTGAGTCCAGTGTTCTGTTTTTGACATAACATTCCCCTCCTCCTCCGTTGGTTTAGTGCAAAATTATGACATGAAACTGACCATGAGATAAATTGCTTACAAAGTTTGTCATGATTCTATTGCAGCAAAGATAGTTTTGCTCCACAATTACGACTGCAGTATTTGTATATGCAATATTCATTCATGTTCCATTTGAAACTGGGTGTTCCTTAATTGCAACGAAACTTATGAGCTATTGAATACATCAAAATACAACTTTCTTGGCACTCTGCTTGTCCTTAAATTTTATATAGTCTTATCAGATATTAAGCAAACATTTGTTCTGAAAAAGATCTGCAAATATTTATCCATAAGGCATGCCTTTACTACAAAGACTGTAGCTGAAAAGGTTTTAAGAAAAGAGCATGCAGTCTTTAACGGTAGGCAACGTCCTAGTTTCTCTGTCAGAAAAATAAATTGAGTAGTCTAAAATGTTTTCTTCTTAATCATGTCACTGCAGTGATGATCAGTAAACTCTGCTAAAAGCGTGGTGTGTGGCTGGGAATGTCTTCTCTTAACAGCAAAGCTTACTGAAGATGCAAATAACTTCCCCAAATAAACTTTTATTTTTTTATTTTTTTAAAAAAGAAAAACAGATGTTTGATTTTTTGTGTTTCTTTTGTGTTTTCTTTTTTATTCTTTTTTCCCCTTTTCTTTTATAACTCTGAACAATGTAGGTGTCTAGTCACATACAGGTCTTAGCAAGGAAGAAAGTTCGAGAAATTCAAGCCGCCATTAAGGTACGTTTGGCTTGCCCAGTTGTAGGGGGCTTTTCATCTCCATGGTTACAGGCTTTTCCTTTGTTTCCCTCCCTTCCCCTACCCTGCAGGTGTCTAGTCACATTCAGGTTCTTGCCAGAAGGAAATCTCGTGATTTTCATTCCAAGCTGAAGGTATGCGCTTTTCTGCTTTTGGGCTTGTGGTTGCTATGCCTTTCACTTCCTGTTTTCCCTGGTGATCGGTGAATGCCTGGTGCTGTGATTCTTGTAACCTAGTTTCCTTGCATGTGGTGGCTGTTTACATTTCTTTGTGTTTAATCTCTTCCCTTCACTGATTTCTGCACTGGCCTCTCTCTCTCTCTCTCTCTTTTTTTAACAGCCTTCAAAAATGTTACTTGCTGTGTGCATGTGTACTACTTTTTTAAAGGTTCTTTTTTTAAACAAACAAAAAAAGCATTAACTTAGTGTTTGCACTAAAAGCATTGCAGTTAAATAGGAATTTTGTATGTGCACACACATGCAGCTGCAGTTTGATAACTGAGATGGTACATTTCCCACTCCCACCCCCTTGTTATCGGGATTTTAAAAATACTTGCAGGGATTTTAATATAAATAAATAAATAGATAGATAAAAGAAAACACGTTTTCTGATCAGCATTAGATTCCTATCCTACCTCAGGCTATTTTACATTTGTCTGTGATTTCCAGAGATTCTAACTTGCCACATCCACCTTTAAATCACTTGTTACCCAAAGTAAAATGTTGACTCCAGCTATGATCCCCTCAAAGTGAAGCACTTTCATTGGCTTCAGCGGGAGAGTTAGGCATCTGCTCTCGGCTTGAAATCAGTGTGACTTAGAAGTGATTAACTTTGAGTTACGCCCTTTGGGTGAGATCCAGTCTCAGGTCTCCCCATCTGTTTCAAAGAGGAGAGGAAAAGAAAGGGAAAGTCCCATTTGTGTAAATCTGACTGCGATCCTAAACTCACATATTGGAGAGTAAACTCCACTAAGCACAGTGGGACTTAATTTTGAGTAAACATCTGTAGGATTGGGCTTTTGGAATAGTTTTATCTTTGTAGTTTCCTAAATTGCATAACCTAGGGAAAGATATTAAATGCTTCCCTTAAACTTTAAGAGTGATAACACCCCCCCCCCATTTTCTGATTTCTGAGAGGAATGACGAAGTGATAAAAAATGCTTCCGTTGCCAGATTTTTGCATAAAAGAATCCCTGAATGTTCAGATGTTAGGTTTGGGGTGATTTTTTTTTTGCTTTGTTTTAATTTTTCAGTAAACTATAGCATCTTCTTGACTACCATCTGAGATCATACTAATGTTTGTCTGTCTTTTTGCTGAGCTTTTTTTGTTGTTTTTTGTTTGTTTAAAGTCACTTGAAAGCAAAAAGCATTTCAGAAAGTGATTATGCTGCCCTAAGTGGTAAACACTGTGGATGTTGCTTGCCGCAATCCTGGAACTGCAATATGTAAATAACAGGCCTGGCTTTGTAACTGTCCTACTTGTCAGGAGCTTTGGGTTTTCAATATGCTGTGGGCAGCATGCTGGCAAGCTTGTATGGCTGTTGGTGGCTGGCTTGTGAGCTGGGCTGGCTGAGCAGTCGCGGTTGGTGAAGAACTAAGGGAACTCTGAAAGTACTGCTTCTTAACCCAAGGTGCAACGATACAGAAGGCTGTAGCATTTTCAGACTAAAACTGTCAAACTTAATGGCTAAAATTAGGCATCTTAGCTCCTGTTTAGAAAATTAAGCAGTGTACTGACACCATGTACTAAATTAATAGTGGGCACCTGCAGATTCCTTTGTGGAACTGAAGTCAGACATTTGTTAGCATGGGCTACCTGCTTTGATTTCTACCAAAGAGCCTTTTCTTAGGATTAAAAGGTTGCAATTCTGCCATGCAGGAAAACCACCCAGGTGTGTTTCTTACCCACACCTAAAATATTTAAAAATGCACCGCTTTTAAATTTGAACTTATTTTTTATTGCTGCACCACCTGTATGATGATGAAGCTTTCTGCAGAGCAAGGCAGCAAAGTAAACACCAATGATACCTGCAAGTCCTTTTTCCTGGTGGGCTCTCTCTCTCTCTCTCTATCTCTCTCCACTGAATTTAGTTTAGTGATGTTTTCTGTTGAATGCACTGGTTCCGTGGAATTTGTTGAAAGAATCTGCTGATACATCTGTCGAGTAATAATTTCTGCCACTCCCACAATGTCAGCATGTACTTCAGCGTAAAGAGACAAGTTGCGGCAGTAAAAGATGCTTTGGGCGACCAGGCACTGATGAAAATTAACCACTGATTATCACAAGTCTTGCTCTCGAGTTTCCTTGTTGCTACAGTGAAAAAATAACTAGGAGATGTTTCTATGGAAAAGGATTAATAATAATAATAATAATAATAATAATAATAATAACCATCTATGAAGTGGCAGTGACTCCACCCATGCAAAATATATTATTTTATGTGAAGTAGAAATTATGTATATGGTCCTTAAGAAAGAATAGACAAGAGTCAGATGGTTCGCCAGAACAGAATCCATGATGATTTTGGGAGTTGGTATGAGGTTTGTACTTTCTCTCCCTGTCATCCTCCTCAGTGCTATCATAATTATAACAATGGAACTGGGCTGTCCTGCATTTCATTGAATATAGTATGTCTTTGACTTTGTGGAGCAGAACTTGCTTTATAAGATTCTATTGCAGGGGACCTGCAAGCATAGGCTCTCTTTTATATTATGTCAGCACAGTGTATGCAAAGACAACAGAAGAATGTGGTAGGGGGAGGAGAGGGAAAGTGTGAGACCATCTCCCAAATTCACACAGACAGTTCTGGTGACTGAGTAGGTCTTACTCAGCCCAGGTTGTCATATGCCTGCTTATTTCTAGCTCCTGTGGGTTGAGTGGAAAGAAGTAGTGACTAATGATGTGCCAAAAAATTAACTTGCATTTTTACCAAAGGGGAGATAAATTTTCAGTGAAATTCTATAGGTGGGGTGTGAAATTTTTCTCTTGCTTGCCTTACAATTGCCAAGGACCATTTGTGAGTGCCATTTCTTTCATTCTACAAATAATCTCGCCACTGTTCTGCACTCTGCAGCCTTCTTGGGTTCTGCTGGCTTCAATTAAAGTCCAGGGAAGATGTCATGAGGTAACTCTTCCCACAGGGCTTTTTGAGATCTGGAAGTGCAGGCAGCTAGGGAGGCTGCAAAGTACTGGGGACTACACACTACACCAGTGTGGTATAGTGGTTAAGAGCAGTAGACTCGTAATCTGGGGAACTGGGTTCGCTTCCCGGTTCCTCCACATGCAGCTGCTGGGTGACCTTGGGCTAGTCACACTTCTTTGAAGTCTCTCAGCCCCACTTACTTCACAGAGTGTTTGTCGTGGGGGAGGAAGGGAAAGGAGGTTGTAAGCCGCCTTGAAACTTTTTAGGGTAGAGATAAAGCGGGATATCAAATCCAAACTACTACTTCTTCTTCTTTATTGTAAAGAAGAGACCTCTGCCACCTTGCAGGGAACCAGGCAGAAGGCCTTCTCGGTAGTGGCACCCACCCTGTGGGACGCCCTCCCACCAGATGTCAAAGAGAAAAATAACTACCAAACTTTTAGAAGACACCTGAAGGCAGCCCTGTTTAGGGAAGCTTTTAATGTTTAATAGGTTATTGTATTTTAGTGTTTTGCTGGAAGCTGCCCAGAGTGGCTGGGGAAACCCAGCCAGATGGGCGGGGTATTAATAATAATAATAATAATAATAATAATAATAATAATAATAATTGCTGAATGATAACTCAAGATCAGATCCCTGCACATACAGGAATTCAAAAATGCATTGAGAATAGGGTGGGGGGGTGGGGGGATGGAAGCGTCATTCTTAGGGAAAGAAAACTTTTGAGAAATTGAATGACAGTTCCAGCACAGTACTAGAAATGGCACACAGCTAATTGTACCAAGCCTCTTCCCGAGTTGATGCAGACTAGGTGGGAGACTGAGGTAGCAGTGCCTACTCTCAGTCTGCCTGCAGCACCAGGTGGAGCACTGAGTACATTTACTCTTGCACTACCAGTCCTTCTAAGGAGTAGATGCAAAGTCTCCCTTGCAGTTCTTTTGGGACACATCAGCCAAGATATTATCAAACCTATTCAATTACTTTGTAAAATCAGAGAAGATAGAGACTTTGGCTTTCTGTGAAGATGCAAAGTCTCATACAAGTTTTGACTTCCTCTTCAAGCTTCTGTATGAAGCAGAGGCCACCATAACTAGGGATGGAAATAGACTTTTGCTAAAAGCTTATTCTGCACATGTGCAGAACTTTAGTTTGCATTCTGAGCTGTAGTATGTCTTCAGGGAAATACAATTTGAGTCATACAGCAAAATGTTAAAAAATTGGGCAAATCTGTATTCTGAATTTGATAATTCTGAACTTCAGCAGTGTCCCCATTTCTGACAGATGACGACTGTTCAACTAGTGCATTGTTCACTTGGCATCATGCAATCAGGCAGAATAATGCATGAGGGCAGTGGGATCAAGTGTCTCTCTCCAATTTATGACATTTTATGTCCCGCAGAAGATCTGAATAGAATGTATTCACAATAATGGCCCATGTTCAGACTTTATTTGTATCTGTGTGGGCTTTTTCAGATCTGCTGAATATCTCAGTGTTGCTAGTGATGTGATCCTGCCGCATACTGTTCCCTGTAAGTGCCATGTTATAGGAGCAGGGCAATGTGCAGCTTCAACATCCTTGCTTCAGGGGATCTAGGAAATCTAGAAATGCCACTGAAGCAGATATGGAAAACTAGCCCTTACCTTAGGTGTGGAGATAAGCAGAATCGAGGAGGGAAACAGCAAGCCCATCCTCTCTGGTTATGATACCCAAGGGAGAAACATCCTGTAAACAGAAGTGGCCAATCCAACAGTTGCCATCTCAGTTAACACAAGCCCAGACATATGATGCTTGATAGGCCATAACTTGTCACATAGCCATCAGGTCCAATCCACATGTGCACGGAAACAAGCTCGTCTTGCAGGGGGTCAGGGAAGATTTCATCTCTTCCACCAGCAAGCTGTTCCAAGTGCTTTTCAATGGGCAGCGGCTGGGTTCTATGGGAGCTGCAACCCAGTATTGAAGGGCAAATGAAGAAATGATGAGAACCATTG